TTGGCCTCACCAATGCACCAGCCACCTTTCAAGCAGTAATGAATGATGTATTCAAGCCGTATTTGAGGAAGTTTTTGTTAGTTTTCTTCGACGACATATTGATTTACAGTAAGGAGATGGGTGAGCATGCAAGACATCTAAGCATTATCTTAAAGACACTATTAGATAATCAATTGGTGGTCAGTAAGAAGGAATACATTTTTGGACAACAACAGTTAGAATATTTGAGGCATGTGATCTCAGCAAAAGGAGTGGCGGTTGACCCCTCAAAGATAGAGAGCATTACTAAATGACCAGCGCCAAGGGACATCAGGGCCCTTAAAGGGTTTCTTGGTTTTCCGGGATATTATCGACAATTTGTTCGGGATTATGGAAAGATAGCCCTCCCACTCACTGCTCTATTAAAGAAAGATTCATTTGTATGGAGTATAGTAGCTCAAGGTGCTTTTGAAGATTTAAAAAGACTCATGATGAGTGTCCCAATCCTCTAAATGCCTAATTTCACACAGGAATTTATCATAGAGACTGATGCTTCTGGGAATGGTTTAGGGGTCGTGTTGATGCAGAAGGGGCGACCTATTGCCTTTCTCAGCAAAGGTTTGTCTCTAAATTCCAAACTTAAATCAGTTTATGAATGAGAATTAATGGCTATAGTTATGGCTATGCAAAAATGGCGCCATTATCTTTTGGGAAGACATTTTGTTATCAGGACAGATCAGCAAAGTCTTCACTTCTGAATTGACCAGAAATTGTTGAGTGAGAATTAGCAAAAATGGATTATCAAGTTATTGGGGTTAGATTTTATAATTCAGTACAAACCTGGGCTACTAAACAAGGCAGCATATACTCTCTCTAGAATGCCGGAAGTTGTTGAGAATCACGCTCTTTCTATGAGTTGCTTCTCGGGTATAACAGATTTAGAAGATGCCATTCATCAAGATGCAAGTTACGCGAGATCATGGAACAACTTTTGATCGACCCAAATAGCCATCCTCATTTCAGATTGGTGGGACGACATTTGTTGTATCATGACAGACTGGTGGTGTGTAATAACTGCTTGATACTACTATACTCATAAAAATACATATAATGAAATATGAGTACATTAATAAAAATAGTTAGGCCCAAAAATTTTCTTTCATTTACTATACATATTCTTTACACAAAGTCAGTATTATTTACAAAAGTTCTCAAAAGTGTGGTGGACAGTGTAACTACTCCTCCTCGCCCACCGACATCCATCCAACTGCGTCCTCATCTAGAATCTGCAAAAACATAGAAAAACAACGGGGTGAGCACAAATAATACTCAATAAGTAAATCCTCTACTCGTCTATACCCCGTAACTCTTTCTCTTAATTCATTCCTTACGCTCTTCTCTTCTCATTTCTGTTATCTTTCATTTCTGTTTCTCATACTCTTTTCTATACACTCTCTAGTGTATGTCACGGCCTCATCTTACCGGAGGCACGACCGGGAACTCTCCCGCTCTACGTGACTTCTACTCATTTCTGTACCGATCGGATTTGGTTATGCATGGATTCGAAACCCTTGGCCATGTGAGTGTATATTCTTTCTCTCTATCTATCGAATGTCATGGCCCCTTCTGACCGGAGGCATGGCTGGAACCTCATGTTCCACTCTTCGTGACGGTCACAGCCTCATCTGACTAGAGGCACGGCTGGGGATCACAAAGCACCCACTCTCGTGACTTTACTCATCACTCACGGGTTCCCCATCACACAACCTACTCTATTCTCTTCTTTAGCTCTTAGAGTAGTTTAAGCACAAAGGTCTCTACTTTTTCTCAACTCTTAGAGTAGTCTATTCCCAAAATTCTCTACTCTTTCTCAAGCTACTTCTCAATGCACAATTAATGCATATGGATGGTTCATGCTCATTAATGCACTTAGGAAATGCCAATATGCAATGTTGCAAGAAATAAAGTTCATAAATCATTCTCAAACTTCTCTTAGGCATTTCATCAAACAACTCATGTGCATACAAAAACTCTTCTCTAACTACAACTCTATTTCTCTTTGTAACCATCCAAAATAGGAAGAAATTCCCTTCTATGGACATAACTCCTATCATAAAAGAACACTCCCAAATATTTACTCAATCTCCTCCAACTTTATCTCAACTCATCACACATTAACACTTCCCATAAAGAGAGCATATCCAACACTACAACATGAATACTCGTCTCAACTCAATTTCTCAACAAATAAACATATGTCTCTACTCAATTTCTCAACAAGCATCATTTATACATATATAAAGAAATCTCTACTCAAGGATTTCTTAAACTTTAGCTTGAGTTGGATTTACTTACCTTGAGATGGTGTGATTCCACTAGCACTTCTCTTTCCTTTGGTCGATGTCTTTTCTTTACACTTTTTAACAATAACACAATAAGACCTTAACACCTTTATAGCAAAATTTCACATCTAGAATAAAGGTCCTTACCTTAGGATGCCTTAAAAAACATCTCTACAAAAAAACTACTCAAAAGCCCTTTAAAATCCTTGAAGGATTGGATGGAAAGTAGAGAGAAAATGGTGAATGAGTATGGCGGTGGAAGAAGAAGAATGAAGGGGTTTCTAAGACTTAACCCTTATTTACTCATATTTTACACCTTCTTTCCTAATTTACCCTTACTCTTTCTTAGGAATTCCACCTTTGCCCTTTTAATTCTTTGCAAATGCACCCCCATTTAAACTATTCTCCATGCCATTTCCTTGCATTTCACTCACCACTTTTCCTGCTAATTAGGGGTAGAATGGTCATTGTGCCCCAAAGGAAGAATTATCTAGAAACTCAATACACATTTTGTCAAGCCCTTCGCCGCGGTGAAGAATCTTTCTTAGCCCCGGTGAAAACTTACACAACCTATACCATAGGTTGCAGAACTTCATCGCCGCGGCAAAGCTTCTTCTTCGCCCCGGCGAAGTCTGTAACACAAAAATTCGCCAAGTCTTTACAAATTTCAGGGCAACCACTCAACCAACTCCCAATATCAATTCAACCATGGACCAACCAAACTATAACAACAACAAACCAACTCAAATGAGGAAAAAACAATAAGCATTCAAGTAAGACAACACAATTAAACTATGTACCTCAAGTGGGGCGTTACATGGTGCCTAAATCTAGACCTCATATCTAGAAAATATTACATGAGTTTCATTCCTCGCCCATTGGGGGCCATTTGGGTTTCTTTCATACATATAAACGCATCACAAATGTAGTGTTTTGGGAGGGGATGAAGAAAGATATTATGGGGCTTGTGGAAGCCTGCACTATTTGCTGACAGAACAAATACAACGCCTTGAGTCCAACGGATTTGCTACAGCCATTGCCCATTCCTAACCAAGTGTGAGAAGATGTCTCTATGGACTTTATTATGGGGCTTCCAAAAGCTCATGGGGTAGATACAATTCTGGTAGTTGTTGATCGTCTTACAAAAACCAGCCATTTTTTAACTCTCAAACATCCTTACACAACTAAAGGGATAGCTGATCTGTTTATCAAAGAGGTAGTATGGCTGCATGGGTTTCCCTGCACCATTGTTTCAGATCGTGATAAAGTTTTCATGAGCCACTTTTGGGGAGAATTATTTAAACAGTCAGGAACCCAACTGCACATGAGCTCAGCTTACCACCCGCAAACGGATGGTCAAACCAAGGTGGTAAATTGATGTTTGGAGACGTACCTCAGGTGTTTTGTCAATAACCAACCCCAACAGTGGCCGAGATGGGTTCCATGGGCAAAGTTTTGGTTCAACACGACTTATAGTAGCTCCACAGGTATGTGTCCATTTAAGGCTCTATATGGACGCGACCCTCCAACGGTGTTGAGGTATGCTGACCACACTTCCTCAGTCGATGAAGTCAACCACCAACTCTGGAATCACAACAATATCATGGAGGAGTTAAAGGTGAATCTCCTCAAGGCTCAAAACTGAATGAAGACTTATGCTAATAACCAACAGTAAGAAGTTACATTTGAGATAGGGGAATCTGTGTATTTGAAGTTACAGCCCTACAGATTAAGATCTCTAGCTCATCGATATAATGAGAAACTTAGTCCGAGCCTTTATGATCCATTTGTGATCACGGACAGAATTAGAGCAGTGGCATACAGGCTAGCATTACCTCCCTCAGCTCGTATTCATGACGTTTTCCATGTCTCGCAATTGAAGAAGGCAACTTCCCCACTCCCCAATAGCCAACCCCTACCGGCAGCCCTCAATGAAGATTTTATTTTGCAGGTTGAACCTGAGGCTATACTCAAGAAAAGAAATCTCTTGAATGGACAATGGGAGGTACTAATTCAATGGAAAGGCTTACCTCCTTATGAAAACCCTTGGGAGGATTTTGACACAATCCATTCTCAATTTCCTTCCTTCCACCTTGAGGACAATGCGGTTCTCCTTGGGGAGGGTAATGATAAGCCACTTAGGAGGTTGGTCTATAGTAGGAAGGGTAGAGGTGAGAAGTAGAGGAATATTTGTTTTGCATGAGTGTTAGGAGTTGTTTTTGGGAGGACTGGTGGATTAAGGAGATTGGAAGGAAGAAGAATTCGGTTAAGAGCAAAAGGTGTCAAGGAATAAAAGTGATGGATAGAGGGAATTGAGGGATACTGAGAAAAGAAGGCTAAGGTTTAGAAAGGGAGGTGACTGACTCTCGAAGTTCAGTCTTATCTTTGTTTTTGCTGTACTTAGAATTGTTCCAATTTGTTGCTTGTTTGCTGGGTAAATGATAGAACATGATCTCTAGATGTACTGTTCTATTTTAATGTCAATATAGAGTTTTTTTTCCTTTTCTTTACTGTGCTTATTGATTGCGAATTCGTATTGGATAGATTTGTTGTGTGTTTCTTGGTGGTTAACGGGTTAGTGTTCTATCAGTCACATAAACATTCACACAGAGATAGACTAACAGCAGTGTAATTGTATGCACTCGCGCATACATAGAGAGATGATTATTAGTGATTTACCTTTGGATCTCAAAGATAGTGGACAATTTCTTCAAGCTCTTGTTTTGCCTCGTCAACACCCTTTACATCTCTAAACTTTGTGTTAGATTCCATGCTAGGCTGCACTTTTTCATGTAAACCAAGTCCTAAAACATAGAGAATTACGAATATGAAAAACTGTGTTACATTAACTTCAATTTGAATCTGTCCCAGTGACCAATATCATAGTAAAACCAAAAGGTATCATATATAGTTATACCTTTACTGATTCCTCTATCCTCAATAAGTGCTCCAACACCAGAAATCAATAGAAAACCCAGTAAAAATTGTGCGAATCATACGCCACAACTGCTCTTTAAAATACCCTCCTTTAGCTGGCACCATGTGTACAGGAGCCCTGGCAGTTCCAAGGATAGCATCTTTTGTTGATTTTCCCACATTCTTAAGAGCCGAAAAGGCTCCTATAATTTCTTCTTCCCTTGCTGAGTTGGCAACACCTACAAATATCATAGAAACCTCCTGCTTAACAAATAAAAAATAAAATAAATAACATCTGTAACAAAGCAAAAACACATTCCAAAATTTAAACAGATAAACACAGGCCAGATTTCAAACTAGTAGGTATCTTCTTTGCTTAATTTTTCATAACAATACTAGCATGCCCACCTAGCAACATGCATATCTGAATCAGGAATGTCTTTGTGAAAACCAGGAATAATTTGCAAAATGATTTAAACATCTCATCTTCATTTTGCCCAACTTTGCACTCCATCAGTATATTCAATGCCCTCAATGCTGATATATTTGTAAAATAAGAAATTTATTTTCCCACCCAGCTTAATGTCATCCAGCCTGTCACCTTTAACTAATGCTTTAACATATTCATTGAGTGCTGCTTGGTTAGAATGTAATGACGGTTGGCTATCAAATAGTCTAATCACTGCTTCAGGATCATTTCGACAAACAAGTTTTGGAAGCTGGGCAACCTCACTTGCTTCATCTGCATCATGTATTCTATGAGCGAAATTACCAGCATAATTTGACTGTAACCTTTGTTGAGCACTTTTACCCAATGTTCCAAAAACCGAACCGGACTATGACCCGTTCAAGGGTCAGGTTTCCGGTTGGATTGGTCGATTGGACAGTATCCTATAAAATTACTTTTAGTCCCTAAATGTTTGAAATTCATGAAAAACACCGCTATAATACTCCCTTAAGGTTTGAAATATGTCTAAAACACCCCTGTCACGTGAAGAGGCTGGTGAGTGGTGGCGGCAGTGACAATCGACAGCCAATCGAAGTTTGGAATCATGGGGCTTTTGATGTATAGGTTCCGGCGAATTTGATGGTGGTGTTAGGGAGTTCCATCGGCGTCAGAAATTGTCAGAATCAGGAAGAAAGTCCGATGGTCGTGTGAACTTTAGGTGGATGGCGAGCGATGAAGGTTGGACGATAGCCACTGAAAATGGATGGGTTTTGTCGTAGAGATGCTATCAAGTAGAATGGTGGTGTTTTCTCCCTCAAATGATGCCGGAATCCGACAAGATTGAGTTGCGATTGGACCGCGATTGGACCACGACTCAGCACTATTTCGGTGGTCCAACTACGGCTCAATCCGGTTTAACTGAAAATACCGATTTTTAGAAGATACCGGACCGGAGATACTGCCAGCTGGCGGTCCAACCGGATGGTCCGGTCCGATTTTCAGAACACTGCTTTTACCTGTAAAAAGAAAGAAAAGGAAAGTATTCTTGTAACTGAAAACAAAGATAAACAAAAAAGATTGCCTAATCTTTTGCTTCATGTAATGCCTATGCAAAGTCCAAAGGCGAAGAAGAAAATAGAGCAACTCAAGTCTGTTTTTAAGATATTTAGAAGCAGAACAGCAAACTATCAAAAAAACTACCAGAGCAACACACTTCCTCAAAACAAAGTAAGTCTTAACCAAATAACAACAATCAATTAAATATTCAAAAACAAAAATTAATAATAAAAGTGAGACAAATGCATAACTTCTAGATGACATAGAAATGCATACCTCCAGCACCTCCAAACTTGTTGACAGTATAAGTTCTAACAAACAGATTTTTGACTTGCCCCAAATCATATCGATGCTTAGAAACCTAATGAAGCAAAATATGGAGTCCAATTGATGGGAAAAAAAAAAAAGCAGCGGAAAACACAAAATATCAGTAAATCAGCTGTGAAACATGAATGTTCGATCAAGATTCAGCTCTAACAATATTTAGCCAAACACAAGCTAATTCATATTAAATAAAGATGCAATCTCAAACGAGACCTGATAAATATCTCCCTATCCTATCCAAATTACATCAATATTTTATTCTGAATCCTACCTTAACACAGAGCTCCACCCGTGTGAAATTGCCCAATCAACCACGCTCCACCTGCAGCCCGAGGAGCTCCCTCCACCACTCCGTGAATGGCAACCGCCATGGGTTCTCTACACTCATTTTCCGGTGAACCGATGCTGATTTTTAAGCTACTTTTTTGTGGTCTTTCTGTGCGGGCGAGCAACTAACAGGCCAAGCATGGTAACCCACGGCGGTGGTGCCTAACGGGGCCAAGTTTAGCCGTTTAAACCAACACGAATCGCCCCAAAACATTGTAACTAATATAATTAATTAGTTATTAAATATTTTACAAAAGACTGAGTTGAACAAGTGATGATGTGACGAATGATCATATCACTTTGTATAGGGCTTCTATCAAAACCCTTTTGTAAGTGGACTAGTGGAGTCTTTCTGTTTAATTAAATAACTCTATGATGTAATATGGAAAGAAGATTATTGTTGCTGGAATTATGCATCCTGCAATCAAGCAATTGACATGATATTTAGGAGTGACTCTAGGAAATTCTTTATTGGAAATATTCTATAGTTACACCATTGAACTGGTTTTACATTTTTATATAAATTCATACAACACTGTAAACTTAAATATACAAGAAATACATTCTTCTTCTCTTTTCTGGCATTCTTCAGCAACTACGTTTGCTCCTTTTGCCTCTTCTTGCTCATACTCTGACATACAGCGCTGTCTCAAGAACATTTGTGACCCTAGATAAGAGTTACTTTGGGGGTCTTCTAATAATATAAACATATATTAAAAAAATTATTTCAAATTTATTTTTCTTCTCTTTTGAGATGCAAAATCACTAGAAGAGGTGGACAGCGACCGATAAGCTAATGGGATCAGGTTGGTGGAGGGTTTTGGAGACTAGATGTTGGAGAAGCAATGAGTGGTGAAATGGGCGATTTCCAATGCTAGGATTGATCGGAAAATGCTTGAGAAGTTGTGGCCCAAAAGGTATCATTGGCTAGCGATTAGCGGAGTAAACAGATGAGGTATGATAGGGGTTTTGGTGAGAGGGCTGAGGGGAGGAAGATGGTCGTGTTGAGGAAGGCCAACGACGTTAGGTACATGCTAAAAAGGCCAAAAATGGTTGTTGCGCAGTGGAACTAAGGCTACAAACGAACTGAGCTGTTCGTCAACAGCTCGATGTTCGTTCGATAACAGCTCGATTCAACTTGATAACAAATTGTTCGCAAACAGTTCGATGTTCGTTCGATAATGTGTTCGATTTGAGTTTGAACATGAGATGTTTATTTGATTATGTTCGCAAATATACTACGTTCGACTAATCCATCCGTTCGCGAACAACCTATTCGCTTATTCGTTCGTTTATGTTCAAAAAACTTGGTATACATTTTTATATATATATATATATTTATATTTTTTTCATTTTTATATTATTTTTGGTTTAGTTTGGACTTTGGATGAATTTTTTTTTATAGTAATCAATAATAAAATATTATGATGCTTTTGTTTTTCTTATATATATAATATGTTTGGATTTTTTTTTTTTCAAATGTCATCAATAATTAAATATATAAGTATATAGAATTTTAATTAAAAAATAATAAATTATTTTGATACATAGCATAACAAATTTAATAACATAATAGATTGTATAATCAAGTGATATAAAACATAGCGAATCTAATAATATAATAGCTTCATATTTTTCCAAATGTAATCAATAGTTAAATATTATGAAATAGCATTTCAATTAATAAATAATAAATACAGTATAGTAAATTAATAAACATAACATATTGTATAATCAAGTGATGTATAGCATGACAAATTTATTAACATAATAGCTTAATTAAATATAGTATGGTAAATTGATGAACATAACATATTGTATAATCAAATGATATATAGCATGACAAATTTAATAACATAATAGCTTAATTAAATATAATATGGCAAATTTATGAACATAACATATTGTATAATCAAGTGATGTATAGCATGACAAATTTATTAACATAATAGCTTAATTAAATATAGTATGGTAAATTGATGAACATAACATATTGTATAATCAAGTGATGTATAGCATGACAAATTTAATAACATAATAGCTTAATTAAATATAGTATGGTAAATTGATGAACATAACATATTGTATAATCAAATGATATATAGCATGACAAATTTAATAACATAATAGCTTAATTAAACCTAAGTTATATATATAACAAATTTGTCACGCATATGTTTTGATCATATATTACAATAAACTCTCATTCCACTATGAATTTATGGGTGTTGATACAAAATATATATGTAGACATTTAAAATATTTATAATAATTTATGTAATGATAATATATATAGATATATGATAACCTATAATTTTGATAATTTAATAAAATATTAAACATATTTAATCTATGATTAATATATGTAAGCAAATTCCTTTTGGTTGTGTTGTAATGTCATGTTTGATATGGAACCAAAATTTTTTTGAACCATTTATTGGTTTTAACATTCAATAAGATCCATTTATTTGTTGTGATTTTTTTTTTTTTTTTGTTCAATTTATTTTGAAGTTTTATTATTTATGATGGCTATTTATTTTAATTTACTAAGTTTTTATTGATTTATTTAAAATATACATATAGAGAGAGAGTTGGTTTATTTTCAAATGCTGAATTAAATGGGTATGAATTATAAATTGTTGTATATTTGTTTTTTAGAGCATGAATTGGAAAGTTGGTGTATATTTTTTATTCAAACGGGTATTAGAACGAGTTATTCGAACAAGTATTTACAAGTTATTCGAACGAGCTATTTAAACGATTATTCGAACGATTATTCGAACGATCACGAACTGCACATTTTGTTAATCAAACGCACTCGAACGGCCATTCTGTGTTTGTTCGAGTTCGAACACAATTTCAAACACCCTTTTGTGCTTATCGAATGATTTTCGAACGGGAGTGTTAATTCGTGTTCGGTTCGTTTGCAGCCATCGATGGAACTGGGTTGCAAGATTTGTAAAAAAAAATCAGCCAAATTGAGGGCTATCATGCTGGGAAAACATTTGGAAAATGATAAAGTGATGATTTTGGTCGATTTTGGTGAGAAAATCGACCGAAATCACCTCCAAACAGCTGGCGGCGGAAGAGGGTTGGAGATGATTTATGTGAATGTCAAATTTTGAGATTGAATTGAGGGTGAGTAATTTGAGATATGTAAATGACCATTTTAGCCTATCATTGTTAAAAGAAATTCAATGTGTTAATTTAAGGGTGTAAATTGGAATATATGAAACTAGAGGTACAAACTTGCTATTTTGTCAAACTTTGGGTGGGAATATGTATGTAAAAAGTTTATAATAAATTTGGGCATTTTGGCTTCTTTTTTGGGGCCCCTTGGGCCGGGCCTGAATAAAAAATTATACACTATTTTTATTTTTGTAATATATTTAAAAAAAGATTTATTAAAATTTGGGCCATTTTTTGCCCTATTTTGTGGGGGGCCTAGGTAGATGCCTCACCTATAAGTGATTGATCTTGAAAAGGCAGCGGAAAAACAATAAATTAAACCAAAAAATCAATCACTTTCTACCCCAAGATCCGGGTATAGATCAAATTGCTTACAGGTTAATAAACAGAAAAATTTGTACAATATAAATCATAGTAAATAATCCATACAAGGATTAAAAACACATTACCGACGTTTGGAGACTCCTCTGAGTATCTCTGATTTCGGATACGAACATTGTTCACTGGGTACTGTTCACCGTCTACTGTTCACCATCAACTGTTCACGTGATTCTTCGCTAATCGATCCAATGTAGGATCGCACTCATAGGAGTCCACACAAAGATAATCCGAAGAATTGATAATTGTTTAGCTAGAACAATTGTCGGTATCAAGAATCAAGAACAATCAAAATTGAAAAAATTTCTTCTTACATGAGAGAGAGAGAGAAAACCTTTTGGGTGGCTAGGGTTTTAATTGAATGAATAATCCCTTCTTGTTTTAATTTTAAGTTGCACTTATATAGTGCGATAATTAAAACCCTATTCCACTTAGGAATAGCCATGGGCTCCAGCCTTAGTTCACCCTTGCAACCAAACACACCATTTATGGTATTTTAATTAATTAATTATTATTATAATTAAAATCAATTAATGTATATAATAGTATATTAATATTTAATTAATAATAATAATTCATTTAAATATATATACATAGATATATTTAAATATAATCTCACTAATTTAATTTTAATATTAAAATTAAATACAAGCAACAACCTTAGCAAATTTAATTGCACTGTTAGATTACCAAAATACCCTTTCATCCTGAAAGACGAAAATACCCTTATCACAAATTGATTCTTAAATTATCTTATAAGTGTATGACCCGTAGGCTCCTCATCATATTGGCAGTGTGTAGTATTGCGATTAACACCAATTAATTGTCTCACTACACATAGACTAAGGTTGGCCCCTAGCAAGGCATCATGGCCACTCGATAGATTCGGATTCAGCGAAATCGCAGCCTGTCAATAGTAAGGTTACCGTGCAATCAAATCCTTTCATCAACTATTATATCATCGAGACTGAGGTACAGAAATAGTGTCAACCTTAGATATCCTCAACATGTTTGTATTTAGTTATTGGACCAATGACAAGAATATTAAATTGGATTGAGCATCAACTCAATCCCACTGTGACCACAGATTTAATGTCATTGCCATTTACTGAATTACCTAGTGAGATAACTTCTCTCGTACCGAGGAGTGATGAATACTTTGTCGATCCACCATAGTCTCGATACACTTCTCAATGTAGCTAATCACTATTGTATTGATAGCTCTGAATAGAACTACGTTGGGCTAGTGTCAAACTACACCAATTGGTGCACAAGGTGCTTTGGTGATCTCAAGTCTAAGGATCACATGCATCACCATCCGTTAGAGGATTTATTCCAAACATTAGGGTTACCATCCATATGAAATCCTCTGGTGGGTCTGTCTAGTGAACTTGCCTCTAGCAAGCACCCATGCGTTGCACCAGGTTGTCGGCAAACAACTTTGACATGTGAGATCAGTCACTGCCTTTCGACAGGGTCATTGAACACTATGATAGCTTTACAGTATTATTTGTGTCCTTGGTTAAAAAAATAATACGTTTCTAGAATGGCCATCATATGTGATCATAGGGTTCTCACTATCAAGATTTGAAACACTTGATACCCTCGTCACGGTTCTACCATCCTAAGGAC